TTTTTTCGCTGACAGATAAAATTTCTGAAGACATTTGTTTAGCTCTAGTGGCGAAATTTCTTCAAATGGTGTTGCAAACTCTTTCTGTATTTGAAACCATTCTGTAAAAAATACCATTCAACTTTGATTTTCAAGTGAACAAGTGAGGTTACGCAAGATTAATTTGCATTTGTAAACAAAACCTTTTTCATTGGTTTTTATCGATAAACTCCCAGTTACCATTACCTTTAAATAATAACGCTTAAAAAGATAAGTTTTAAGATTACGCTTAAAAGTGTTAAGATCTATACTACATTTTATGGTTTCAGGAATGTCATTCCACAGCTTAGGTGCAGAGACAGAAAAGGCGCGATCGCCATAAGATTTCAACTTGGAGCGAGGAATCACTAACAAGTTCTCACTCGATGATCGCAAAGACCTAGTAGGCTTATAAGTTTCTAAAAATTCACTGATATAACTAGGGCATAAATTATTTAAAGCTTTAAAGTAAAAAATAAGATTTTAAAAAGAATCCTCTGCTCCACGGGGAGCCAGTGTAGTTCCCTCAGTAAAGGAGTAACGTGATCATACTTCCGACCATATAAGATCAGCCGTGCGGCAAAATTCTGGGCTAATTGCAATCTATGAACTAAGAAAGCTTCTGACATCTCTGACATCTTGCGGCTTTGGCCAGTTTGTGACAACCACAAATTTTTCTGGGTCTGTGGCAACCCCTTCCTCGCTTACAACATGGCCAAGGAACTTGACCCTGTGACGGAAGAGTTCACACTTCTTAGAGTTCAACTTCAGGTTTGCCGCCCTTAGCCGTGAGAAGATAAGAGTAAGACGCTGTAGCTCCAGTTCAAAGGTTTTCGCGTGTGCAAGCACGTCATCTAGATATACCAGACACCTTAGGTCGCCCAGGATATTGTCCATCAATCGCTCAAAAGTCGCGGGTGCATTACACAGACCGAAAGCCATCACATTGAACTGCCACAGCCCATTACCTACAGTGAAGGCAGTTTTCTCACGGTCTTGCTCTTCTACCTCCACCAGCCAGTACCCACTTTTGAGATCTTGGGTTGAGAACCAGCTTGAACCAGATAAGGGATCGAGAGTTGTGTCCACCCGCGGTAAAGGATACGAGTCCTTCTTGTTCAGTTCATTTAATTTCCGGTAGTCAACGCAAAATCTGGTACTGCCATACTTTTTCTTCACCAGGACCACCGGTGAAGCGCATCGGCTGGCCAAGGGTTCAGTTATGCCTTGTGCATGCATCTCCTCTACAGCTTTGAATGCCTCTTCCCGTTGAGCAATTGGCAGCCTCCTAGGGTTTTGACGTATAGGGGAAGTATCACCGGTATTGATTTTGTGTTTCGTAACTCCTTTCGGACTGAGATCATGAGGTTCACGAGAGGTGTCTTGGAATTCGGGAAAAAAGTTGCGCAATTGATGCTGCTAGTCGGCGGTCAACCCACTAGCGCTTCGGAGGTAAAGATTTTTGAGATGCTCTGGTAGGCCCTAATCTTGGCTAATAGGTTGACGATGGGGGTCACTGTTAGGGTAAACTATGCTCTTTACAGGTTCACAAGTAGCCACTTGTATACCAGAGGGAATCTGTCTCGGCTTATTGGTTAGGTTGACCATCTGCACTGAAATGTAGTCACGCTGAGCATCCACTAATGTTTTTCCGACCATAACACCGGGCTGGAGTGTGGCGGTAGCTGATGGCCCTATTGTTCCCCAGGGTTCACCATGTGGCTCACCTATAATTTTAGCGGGTACCAGTATTTCACTGTAAGGAGAGATAACGGTATCTTCCATAGCCACCACCTGGTGGCAGCGGGCTTCTTGGAAAGCCAATGGCTTATGAAGAGGCACCCCCTCTGATTCAATGCGTAGGCTGCCCACTCCAGTATCCACAGAACAGCCGTGAGCCATATGGAAGTCAAGGCCAAGTTTAAACTTGTCTGAAATATCGGCAACTAAGGCTACATGTGAGACCTCTGCACCACCAATTTTAATCTTCAGCGGTAGTTTCCCGTGCACTGTAGCAGTTTCTCCCATTGCAGCTTTTAAAGGACAGTGGTCGTGGCTTGTACACTATTACGCAACTGCTTGGTAAGTACATCAGGTCGAACAATTGTAATGTTTGCTCCAGTGACAGCAACAATGGGGCACGCTACTCCTTCGATGTGGCCGATTACGGTTAAGCTTTCCTCCTTGTGGGTCAATGTTCCTATCATCAATACAACTTGTGGGGTTAAATTATCTGGGTTGTTGGCCGGCTTTACCTCATCGAGACTGGCCTGGATTAGTTTAAAGGAGGCTGGGAGTTATGTGACTGCATGTCTCTTGGGGTACTCCGGCGGAAATTTCGACATTCACGTCTAAAGTGTCTTCCTTTGCCACAAGCCCACACGGCTGCTCCCTCATCTAGGATCCAGAATATGATTGCATGTTCCCTTTAGGGGTTTTTATTTCCTCAAGCAGAATTTTAACCTGTGCTAGTACATCCTCTTGTTGAGATATCTTGCCATCTAATGGCACAGTTAGGGTTTCTTCTATTGGTGCGGTGCTCATCTCGCAGACATGAAGATCTCTTTGGCGAGAGGCAAGACGGCAGGATTCGAGCTCCATAGCCAGTTCAAGAGCAGCCCGGAGGGACTGAGGCTTACTCTGTTTCAATCGCAGCAGGGTATCCCCATCAAGGATGGCGTCAATAAACTGTTCTTTAGCCAGCAGGTCCCTCATATCTTCTGGAGC